CACACACACACTCAGTTGGTGATCTGTTTATTCATCACCTTTGGAAATATTTGCAACATTTTTATTGTAGATATTATTATGAATTTGAAAGCCTAGCATGGTACTTCTTTTTATCAAATGCCTAATTCAACAAGCTCCTATCCCAGTAGACTGCTTACAGAATGAGTCTCTAGTCTATTTTTGTTTCAGAGAACTAGCCACATTGTTTATTATCTATAAGATAAAATCCCTTCCCCAACACTGTTCACAATCACTCCAAACAAGGAGGAGCTGAGTGAAGGTCAGAGCTCCAGTTTAAAAGGAATGAGATATATTTTTAATTAATATGCTACCCTGTGTGTCAGAGTCACATATACATTTTTTTACATCTTCTCTTGTAGTTCTTGGTGCGCATATATACATTTCTCCCTAAAATGTATTTTTCATTCATTAGGGATAAAAACTATGATTATCCATTTTTTATAGATCTTAATTTGTAAATTTTACTCAAAAATATATACTGAATTTAGTAAATATTGCTGGTCAAAACTATTGCTGGTCAACTATGTGTAATGTATTGAGCTGAAAATGGAAGAGGAGTAGATAGCAGTAGAAAATATTTCTAATCTTTCAGAAGCTTTCTACTTAGAGAGATGATAATATATGTAATAACTATTATATGTGGAATGGTTTGATTACTGCTATACAAGTGGTACACTTAAAAAAGACCAGTGTTGTAGATCAACCATGCCTCTTTTCTTTTTCATAAGGGCCCATAATGAAGTGACGGTATTTCAAATCGGCCCAACTGTATTTTGTTTCCACTGTAGGGGACCGCAGTGAAGTTGGAGGATGTGGGAATCTACTCACATGATGATTTGCAGAGAATGATGATTGAAGTTCAACAGATGAAAGCCAAACAAACCAACATGAATGTCATGTTTGCCAAACAGAAAAGGTAAGTGTTAATCAAGATTTCCAATACCTATTTCCAAGATTTTAAAGTTGATTCCCCCTGAGTTGAGAAACTGAACACTTGCTTTCTATGACACTTTGGAATGGTTTCTTTTAAGGGAAACCACACCATAAATCAAAAGGCTTAGGATTTGGGGTACTTTTAGTGTTTCAATGCCTCAGATCATATAATTCTGGCCGATGATCATAGCACTGTGTAAATAAAAAATAAAATTACCTGCATCCAAAACAAGTTTGCAGGTTTGAGTAGTGTAACAAGTATCCATTTCCATTTGACATGAGAAAAACAAACAAAAAATATGCAGGTTCTGCATTTAAATACTCTGATTTACATTCCTGGATTATTTGCTAGTTTTTGGCCTTTTCAACAAACTTTATCTATAATATGGATACTTCACCATGTTTTTCAAGGCTTTACAAGGAATCAGAGTGCATGACACAGTGTACAGTTTCTTTAACATTAAAATCTTTACTCAGACAGTGGTGTTCAACAGCAAAGCTTAAATCATTAAATTGTCACACAATAATACCTGAAAGAAAATATTATAACTCCTTATTTATTATTGAATAAATACGTATGACTATGTTCCAGCAAATGTCCAACACTACTCAAATTTCAAATTTCTGGAAATCTTTCAGTGAAGTGAAAAAAATACATTAATTTTTTGCTTAGAAAAATCATCAAAACTAATAAATTTTATTTGACCAAGGTAGCTAAAATAAAGACAATGCACTAAAATACATCATTTACAATGAATAGACACATAGACATGCAAAGGGCCATCCAAAAATATGAATAATACTTCCATGAACATAAACTTGAAAAAGTACTTTTAATTTCATGATTTTATTCTCTATAATTCACTTAGTAAATTACTTTTCACATCACGTAAAGGAGAACAAAGAGGAGTGGTGAGGAGAATGGCAGGATTTTTTTTTTCCTTTTCAACAATATTAAATATCAGCCAAGATTTTCACTGATACTGACCATGAGCCAACCTCTTAGGTTAATTCTGGATATCAGCCTGCTGTTGAGTGCTAACAAAACGTACATATATATCACGTAGTTGAGGATGCTTTAGCATTGGCTTCTGGCTGATTTTATAGGTAAACCAGATCATAAATTACTGGCCAATAGTGAACTAGATGGCCTCTTGAATTTCCTTTTAGCTAAATGATCTGACATAATTTGTCTCTTGTCATATTATTTAGGTTAAATATAGATATGTTAGCTTAGTGTAAACTCACCAATATTTAGCCGTTTCTCCAGCTTTCTAGGAAGTATTTTTTTCTACTCTTGTAACTGTCAAGAAGGAATTTAAATTAGTATTGTATTGGTTTGCAATAATTATTTTATTCTCAAGTCAGTAAGAGTACATATTAAATTAGTCTGTGTTTTCCAAAATATTAGTATAGTGGCTGGGAGTGTAACTCACTGGTAGAGCTCTTGGCTAGCATTCACAAGATCCTGGGTTTAATCCCCAGAACAACAACAGAAAAGACCTGAATGACAAAAATATTAGTGTAATGGACTAATTGAAAAAAAATTGAAAGGAATTAAATTTAAGCCTGAATTATTCAGATAGGGTGATAGGAAGATAATCTTCATGAAGAGCATTATGAATACTATTGACTCCTTATTTCATTATATTATTACATATTGTAGCTTAAAAATTCTATGGAGATATTTTTATTCTGTTTTATTTGGAAAATATGCTCTATTGCAGGCAATATGCAGCACTTCGGCTTGAAATGAAAAATCTGAGACGGAAGTATGGTGAGCAACAGCAGATGTTGACACAGGTATCAATTCAGTCTTTTAAAGGATTCCTGTCTTTTAATGTACATTTTTTACTGGAGCTACTGTATGGCATTTTAGACTTAGACATAAAATGATTACACTATAAAGTCCTATGAAAGCTAAAAGAAAAGTATATTGATTTTTAGTCATGTATAGTGGGATATCTGATAAACTTTCTCTTTAGCTATAGGTTTCTCCAGTTATTGAATATGATATCCTAATTTAAACATGATCTGTGATTTGTTTTTCAGATTCTTCAGTTTATCTGGAGTGTGATAAGTGAGACTCCCACAGTAAACACAAATAAACAAAGGTAAATTTATTGACTCCAAGTATTTTCTTAGTTACAGAAACCCACTTTATACTAAAAATTATGTCTCATAATTTTCCTTTTTCCAAGCTCACTCTTATTTTATAGGTCAGACCACTTAGCATATATGCAGTGTGTACACAACATGAGGATGAAAATGACACCTCCCAAGGAAATTCAAATACATCATCATCATTAGTATATATTGCTTTTCCTTTTGTTTTTATGTTTTTTAAAATGATAAACTGGACATGATATTGTATACCTACAATCGCAGCATTTGGGTTGCTGAGGCAGGAGGATGGCTGCAAGTTCAAGACCATCCTGGACTATGTAGCAAGACCTTGTCCTAGAAAATAAAAGTAACAAAAGATTAACTTGCTATGGCATGATCATGTTAGATATGACCTAGTTGCCAGTTCTTGGTTGTAGGTTGCTTTTGTCTGTCTTTTTTTTTTCATTTATTAATTTTATTGGTACATTTTAGGTATCCCATATGTTGACATTCATCATTGGGAATTTGTACCTTTACATAATGTATCTTGGTTCTTAGTTTTCCCCATCCCCTTGCTCTCCCTTCAATCCCTCCACCCCTCCCAATTTTCAAAGACTTTGTTTCCATTTTTTCCTTTTCTCATAATTTTTTTTCTCTTCCCTTCTTTCCTTTCCCCTCTCTCCCACTTCCCCTTCCCCTTTGGAACTTTTCTTCCTATTTCACATTATGTATTATACATTTTGATCCTTATTACACTTTCGCTTTCTCACAGAAGAGGAACAGTTTGGTATTTACACATGTGTGTCCTATATATTTCACTTAAGTGTGTGGTCTCAATGTGCATCCATTTAGTTGTAAATGTCTCTAGTTTCTCGTTTTTTATGGCTGAGTAGTATTCCATTTTTTAAAAAAAACATTTTCTTTATGCAGTCTCCAGTTGATGGGAAATTGTTCTATTTCCAAGTTTTAGCTATTACAAACAGTGATGCTATGAACATTAGTGCACATATATCACTGTGGAATGATGCTTTTAATTCTCTGGGCAATATACTCAGCAGTAGAATAACTGAGTCAAATGGGACCTCCACTCCTAGTTCTTTGAAATATCACCATAGTGATTTCCACAGTGATTGCACCAGTCTACATTCCCACCGGCAGTGGGGGAGGATTCCTTTTTCCCCACAGCTCCACCAACATTTGTTGTTGGTTGATTTCTTGATAGCAGCCATTCCTTCTGGGGTGAAGTGGAATCTCAGCATTGTTTTCATTTGCATCTCTTGAATGACCAGTGATATGGAACATTTTTTTCATATGTTTATTTGCTATTTCTAATTCTTGGAGAAATGTTTATTCATTTTAAATGCCCATTTTTGGATTGAGTCTTTAAATTTGGGAAGCCTGATTTTTTTTAAGTTCTTTATATATTCTAGATAGTAGACCTTTGTCTGAGAAGAATGGGTAAAATTTTTTTCCCACATTGTGGGTTGTCTCTTCACACTGTTGGTGGTTTCTCTTGCTGTGCAGAAGCTTTTTAATAAAGAGAGGTCTCACTTTTTGATCCTTTGTGCTAGTACATGTGCAACTGAGGTTTGGTTCATGAAATGTTTTCCTACACCAATGTCTTCAAGAGTTCTACCTAATCACTCTTCCAGCCAGTTTAATGTTTCTGTTTTAATATTTAGATCTTTGATCCATTTTAATTTTAGGTTACTACACGGTGATAGACATAGATCTAGTTTTAATCTTTGGCAAGTTGAAACCCAATTTTTCCAGCTCCATTTATTAAAGAGCTAGGTGGATTCTTGGGGAGTCAATGAGAACTGTTCTCTACTCTTGTTAAGTACCAGTCATTTTAAGGTTTGTAGTCACCTGTAAGGAGCCAAATGCAACAGGATCCCATCTTTCTAAAATGAGAGTGTTCATTTTGAAAAAAAAAAAGTTTTACTTACTTGCTTATTTATTTATTTATTTATTTATTTAATTTATTTATTTATTTATTGCTGGAAATTGAATCCAGTACCTCACATGTGGTATGCACATGCTCTGCCACTGAGCTAATGTCCTTAGCCCTTGGATCCACTTTTATACCTTCTCTGAGATTCTCCTGTAGTAAATTGGAAGATATTCTTCAACTCTACCTTGTTAAAGAGTCATGAAACTTCTATAGAGATTCTTTGTACAAGAGATTAGCCTGAACAGATAGAAGGAAACCTTTTCACCTATAATTTCTTATGAATTAGGAGTTCCCATCTCCATCTTAGCTGGCCCTTTAAGATCTAAAATTACAGGATTTTTGTCTAAGTCCTTAGAAGAGCATCTTTATTATAAAATATTTTTATAAGATACTATCTCGTTGTACCTCAAGTACAAATTCATCTGTATTGCTTTGATTTTTCAGACTTGATTAAGCAGGTTACCACCAATGGATCAAAATTAACGACTGTTACTGAGCATGTACAGAGTGCTAAGCCTTATATGGGTCATCTCATTTAATTCTATGACAAATTCTGTTAGAAGCTAACATTTTCCTCATTTCACAGATGTTGATACCAAGTCATGCTAAGTTCCACTATACTATCTGACGTCATATAATTAATATACAATAGAGCCAAAATTCAAACTTTACTAGTGGGAGTCACTACTCCGGGGCTTTGCCCCCATTTGAGTGGGGCTTCTTCCCATTTTTCAGGCTTTTTGGTAACTTAATTTTGATATAATTTCAACAAAAATTTTGAGAATACTATATAATACTCCCGTATAGCCTTTATCCAGATTCTCTAATTGTACCATTTTGTTCTATCATTTGTTATATGTCTCTGTCTCTCTCTTTTTCTCCTCTCACCCTACACACACACACACACACACACACACACACACACACACACACAAATTTTTTTTTCTGAAGCTCTGAAGAATAAATTGCAGCCCTGTTGGGCATTTTAATCCTAAGTACTTAATGTGTATTTCCAAAGAACAATTACATTTACTTACAAAACTGCTGCACAGTATCAAAATCAGGAAGCTTAAAATAGATTTAATGCTATTTTCTAATCTACAATTCATTCTTAAATGTTTTCAGTTTTCTCAGTGATGATCTTTATAGCCACAATCTCTCCTCTGTCTTCGTTTCTCTCATACATATGCTGCATTTATATATCTTGATTATTTTCAACCTGGGAATAGTTCCTCAGCCTATCTTTGTCTTTCATGACTTCAACATTTTTGAAAACACAAGCTAGTAATTTTCATAGAATGCAAAGTGAGGGTACATTGGGTTTGGCCTACTGTCACGAGTACACATTAGGTTTTTGGCAGCAATACCAAAAAAAAAGTAGTGCTGTGTTCATGTCAAAGACACCTGATATCAGCTTTTGCCCTTATTGTTGATGCTAACTTTGATCATATAAATTAAGGTGGTATCCCCCAAGTTCACCACTCTTAAGTTGTTGTTTTCCTTTTATTTTTATTTTTTTTTCCAATTGAGTTTATGGGTACATTTTAGATATACAGTACAGTTATATTCATCTTTGGGATCTTGTACCTTTACATGACAGGTCTTGGTTCTCATTTTTCCCCATACCCCTGCCATCCCTTCACCCACTCCTCCCTTCCCTATTTTTCAAAAACTTTATTTCCATTTTTTTCATTTTCTCATATTTTTTTTCTTTTCCCTTATTACCTTTCCCCTACCCTTCCTATTTCCCCTACACCTTTAGCCCTTTTCTTCCTATTACACATTGTCAATTATACCATTAGGATGTTATTTACAATTATAGTTTTTCACACTAGAGTAACTATTCCGTATTTACAGGTGTGACTTATTTCACTTGAGTATAACCTCAAAATGCATCCGTTTTCCTATGAATGACTCTAATTTCTCCTTCTTTTTGGCTGAGTAGTGCTCCATTTTATAGAAAAACCACATCTTCTTTATCCAGTCTCCAACTGATGGGCAAGTGGACTGCTTCCAAGTTTTAGCTATTACAAACTGTGTCGCTATAAACATAGGTGTGCATATATCACTGTGATATGATTCTTTTTATTCTTCTGGAAAGATACCCAGCAGAGGGACAGGTTGGCCAAATGGAACCTGTACTCCTAGTTTTTTGAGGTATCTCCATATTGATTTCCGTAGTTGTTGCACCAGTCTGCACTCCCACCAACAATGGAGAAGGGTTCCTTTCTCCCCACAACCCCACCATCATTTGTTATTGGGTGATTTCTTGACAACAGCCATTCTTTGTGGGGCGAGGTGGAATCTCAGTGTTGTTTTCATCTGCATCTCTCGAATGACCAGTGATGTTGAATATTTTCTTATATATTTACTTGCTGCTTTAATTTCTTTGCCTGAGAAATGTCTGTTCATTTCAGATGCCCATTTTTGAGTCATATCTTTAAATGTGGGTGGTCTCGTTTTTCTTAGTTCTTTATATATTCTAGATAATAGTCCTTTGTTTAAGGAGCAGCTGATAAAAATTTTTTCCCACATTGTAGATTGTCTCTTAGCTCCGTGAGTGGTTTCTTTTGTAGTGCAGAAGTTTTTTATTAAGATGAGATCCCAGTTGTTGATTCTTTGTGCTAGTTCCCGTGCTACTGAGGATTTGTTCATAAAGTCTTATCCTATGCCAATGTCTTTGAGAGTTCTACCTAACTTATCTGCCAGCAAGTTTAGTGTTTCTGTTTTAATATTTAGATCTTTAATCCACTTGGATTTTAATTTAGTGCATGGTGAAATATAAGGGTCTAGTTTTAATCCTTGACAGGTTGAAATCCAGTTTTTCCCACACCATTTCTTAAAGAGGCTATCTTCCCTCCAGTGAGGATGGTTGGCTCCTTTGTCAAAGATGAGATAGCTAAGTATATCTGGAGTTGTTTTTGTATCTTCCAGTTTATTCCACTGATCCTCGGATCTTTTTCTTTGCCAGTACCATGCTGGTTTTTTTTAATCACAGTGGCTTTGTAGTATAGTTTCAAGTTTGGAATTGTGATGCCCCCTATCATGTCTCTGTTGTGTAGAATTGCTTTTGCTATTCTTTTTTTTTTTTTTTTTTTTTTTTTTTTTTTTTTTTG